CAATTGTAAAGGCTAAATGTTGTGTGTACATTTCTGATCCTTCTGCTAATATCTTGATGGCTGTTCAAGACATTAAACAATAGGTTAATACCAAGTCAGATTCTGAAATTCCCTGGACCTTCTTATTCTCTTTGTGGGAGGCTATTACCAGCTCCTGCTGGTAGAAACTTTTATTGCTTGTATTCGTAATAATCTTGGTGCTATTATTATTTGCCTCAAGCATATTTAACTGTTTCTTTGGCTTTGTCTCCCCCAGACTTAAGGCTATTATGCCTACCCAAGATAAAAATGCCCATCTATCCAGGGCCTATAAATAGACTTTCTGGAATATTTCTGACTGCCAATCACAACTACATCACAACTATGACCCCCTTCAGTCTGAAGTAGCCAAAGCAGTCATTGTCTCTTCCCCCCTCGAGGCACTTAGGGGTACCTTTTCAGTGGGGGGAATGTTACAGATAGCTAAACTAGTTAGAAATACTATACACAGACAAGGTGAGGCCCACAGCAGAGCCAGTGCAGAGGATGGGAATACACTGCAGCTGTGGGAGGAGGCATATTCCTTAGGGGCCACACCTCCAGACAAAAGACAGGATGAACACACACCTACAGGCTTCCCTAAGGATAAATGACGATTCATATTCTAAATAGCTATCGATCACCTGGGTGGGGGCCAGGAGTGTCCCTGACCCAGCCCTCCACAAAAAGCCTTTCTTTGTCCTTGTACACTTGCTAGGTGACTGCTTCCCCATTGGATCAGTACTACCAAGTATGATGCTAAGATACTGTCCTTGTACTCTTCTCTTTTGCCCAGTTTTGTCTTGCCTTCCACCCACCTTGAGATTTTACCCCACAAAGCTTACCTGGAGAAGCGGGCTTATGAGTAACCCGCTTTGCAGGCTCCCTTGTCTTTCTTAGACAAAACCTTTCTTTCCCCCAGTAAATATTTCCTGCTCCTAACCTCTGTTGTTCCTTAGAATTCATCCTTCGACTTTGGGGGCCACAAACTTGGTGTATTGGACCTCTAGCAGGTTGGCAGTTATAACATTTCCTTTATATTATTTGGATACTTGAAGGTCCTCTATTGTCCCTGTATCAAAACCTAGAACTTCCTCTTAAACTGTTTCCAATCCCATAAAGCGTAGGCTCTGGTGAGAGGGCATTCAAATGCTTGGGGAGGGGAGATGGAGGAGCAGTGGCTCACAGAGCAGGCAGTATCAGCCAGTGGGCAAAAGCCAGTGCAAACACAGGGCTGGGGAGTGTGACTCTGTGGTAGAGTGCTTGCCTCCCAAGCAGGTCCTCTCCCCAGTACTGCAAAACAACCATCAAGGGGTGGGGTGGGGGTAATGCAAAGGGTACACAGCCTGCATATCTACATTTATAGGAGATGGGGAAGAAAAAGTGGAAAACGATAGGGCCCTGGCCAGAGGCCACCAGCAGTTCCTCTTGCACTGGCTAAGTGAGTATTGGTGGGAGGTTTTTATCATCACCAAGGGACACTATTTTCTGTAGCTGAGAACCGCTTTTAGGGCTGACAGCGTGACTACACAAGTGTTAAATGTCCAGTGGATCTTGGCTTGACTTTAAAGAGCTTCCTGCCTCCCTACACACTTTCTTAACATTTCTGAAGTAGCATAGAGGTTCATTTTTCAAAATGCCTATACTGCTAATTTTGTGTTTCTCCAAACTTTTCCCCTCTATTCTTCTTTGAAGTGATTTTAGCGGTCGGACATTGCTGAGAAAACAGAAACAGAAGTCCTACTTGAAAAAAGCAAGCCTGGACAGTAAGCGTAATTTCAGAGAATATTTTCAGGTTCTAATGGGGCATGTCACTCCCACTACAGGACCCCCCGCAAATGCCCAGGCAGCAGGTTTCTTCTACTGCACTGATGGTGACTCTCTTGTTACTTCTTCAGAATAGCTCCTTCTGTTACAGCTAAGGGAACTCCTAGTTCAAAGCTTAGATTCTGACACTTTGAAGACAGCCCTCCTTTCAGTCACCCTCCCAAAAGCTCCCTTCAGACTGTGTCCCCTGTGAACACCAAGGCCAGAAAGATCCTCAGGAACGTCAAGTTAACAAACACGTTTAAACTAACCAGTGCAGCAGTGACAGTGCTGGGTAGGTCAGCCATCAGAGCACTAGCAGCCGACCACAGCACTTACTTCCTCTGACCCCAGCTATTTCTACACACTTGGCTGAAATTATTTTTCCTACGATTAAAATGTTGATTCCTGTTTCTGCAGTCATGACCTATGCCCCTAGACTCTCCCTCTGTCACTCTGCCAACAGCCCTTTGTGAGAGGCCTTTGTCCTCTTGACCCCTCCTCACTGTAGGTCATCATGGGTTGTCAAACAGTCTTTATTGAATGAACAGCTGCTCAACTTTAAGGAAAAAAAGTGCAAACTAAAATCAAGATGAGTGAAGATCAAAAGGCAGGCAGTGCAAAATGACACCCAGGTAATAGGCAGTAGGTCCATGCTACTAGGAACTGTTACATCCTCTCTGGGAGCAGGAGAAACCATCTGACAACATTTAAAATGCAGATTGCCTTTGACCCAGTCACCTCTCTTCAAGACACTGCTCTAATGATACTCTTGCGCATTGGTGGGGGTATGGACTGCAGCTCTCTCTGCTGCAATCAGGACTAGACACTGCTTCCTGGCACCTTGGCTGATGGAGTCAACTGAAAGCACTGCATTCTAAGGAAAACCAAAACCACCCAGAAGAATGACAGTCACACTATGCCTGCTGACAGAACATGATCTTCAAGATATATTTCAAAGTCAAAAAAGCAAACTACAGCCAGGAATTATGGCTGCTTGTAAGTGCAGCTCAGTTTGGCAGGAGACTAAGGCAGGAAGATCACAAATTCAAGCTCAGAGGGGGTAACTGTGAGTCAGCAAGATCTTGTCTCAGAAGCAAAAGGGCTTGGGGTATAGCTCATTATGGAGACTCTGGGTTCAATCCCTACTCCCACCAAAAAAAGAAAAGGAACGGAAAGGAACGGAAAGGAACGGAAAGGAACGGAAAGGAACGGAAAGGAACGGAAAGGAAAGGAAAGGAAAGGAAAGGAAAGGAAAGGAAAGGAAAGGAAAGGAAAGGAAAGGAAAGGAAAAGGGAAAGGGAAAGGGAAAGGGAAAGGGAAAGGGAAAGGCAAGACAAAAAAGAAAAAGCAAAGAACACACATACCAAGCAGGCAGAGCACTGCTGCTGGTGATTTATGAGAACACAAGGTTATACAGACACATGCGGGCATAATTTCTCAGCATCTTTGGAGATCAAACAAGAAATGGAAAATTTGGACTGTCTGGAGAAAACATGTGGGTTTGGTATTGGAGGAGAAATGACTTGGTCCCAGGCATCCTGTGGTCTTATACGAAATCCATTTATAAGAAATAACCATTTATCCAGGTTATTTTTTCTGAAAGAAGTTGAAACTGTTCAGTAATGTGTTTGTAACAAAATACTGCAAGATGGAGAATTGTCAACGGCTCCTTAAACACAGACGCCACCTCACCTCACCGAGTTCGAAGCAATTTACACCAGTGGTTACTTTGTAAATCAATGACTGCTGCCTCCCCCACTGGAACACAAGTGGTGCTTGGGCTTAAGCTCTTGAGCGCGAGTTTCTTCATCAGTAAAATGAGGGAGCTGGCCTAAGTCATCTCTTAAATCTGTTTTCTGATGCAAAATATCTGTTATTTTCCTTAAATCCAATTTTGTATTCCTAAGAAACAATGAGCGCAGGCAATGGGCTCTCAGTGTGTTCTCCAAAGCGTATCTAAATACTCTTAAGCCATCCATTTAAAATAATTTTACACTGAAGCATCCTTTAAATATATTCAGAGCACAGAATTTATTGAACACAATACAGAGACAGCTCATACAAAAGTTTATGCGTTGGCAGGGTAGGTGCCATCAGACCGACACAGGACATGTAAGAACATGCTGTGAATATGCGCTTTCAATCTGGACACTGCAAAAAATCATCTCTTCCCGCCAGGAAAAGGAAATCCAGCCATAAAACCATGAATCTATTGCATATCAGGTAAACAGAATGGATGGTGATGAAGTCTTTTTCCTGAACCCACTTTGAAAATGAGTTCTGTCTCAAATCAAGAAATACAACTCGAAACACATAAAAGAAACATGAAAACGAACGCATTCTAAGCTATGTAGGACTTGTCAGTTCCTAAAATGTTAACATATGCTGAAGTCAGGATAAACGCACACAGCCCAAACTGCAGATTTTTTTTTTTTTTAAGACAGGGAGAAAGATGGAAAGCAGGGTAGGAATAACATGCATTACTGAAATTTCTTTCAGCAAAGGGATCCTTTAAATAGATCATTTGGGGTTTCTCATAGAAGTTCCAAATGGTACCAGTTTATAAACTGTCTTGGGGGGAGGAGGACAGGAGGAGAGGGAGGAGAGCAAAGGGAGGGACGAAAGGTGGGAGGGGGAGGGAGGGAAAAGAAATGACAACCAAATGTGTTTGACAGTTTTTTCTCCCTATATGTGCTGGAATCATCAAACTTAGGCTGCTTACAAATGAAAAGAAAGAAAAAGCCAGTCACTTCCACTGATTAATTTCTCAGCCTCTCATATACTATCTAACATATAGGCAGTATTTATTAAATGCTAAATATGTGAGTCATGAAAAGCAAAAGGCAGTTCTTTGTACATGTGGCCTCAGTAGTACAAACAGTAAATTCTGACTTTTCAATCCATGTAAAAGATTCAATCGGGAAAAAAATTTAATGAATGCTGTACTGGAAGACTAACGCTGAATGTAGTTTTCATGTGAAAAACAAAAGAAAGATGGGAATGAAGGCAGCTCATTCATAAAAAGAACAGGGTCTTTGTATTACAAGGAAAGCCAGAGTCAATGTGTAAAACATGCACACTAATTTATCATCTTCTTAAGTCATAAAAAGCTCTACATTCTTGTTAGCACTAAGCCTTAATGAGATTGTGTTAAAAGATCTGATTTGTCTCCCTTAGTCGGTGTTTTCTGAAGGGAAACAAAACGTAACAGGAACCCATTTTCTTTCAGCCAGACGTGGCTTTGGATATGAGAGAAACATTGCTCTCCACACGCCTGCCCGCAGAAGCCCGGGCTGAGCTCCTGCGGCTCATCAGAATGCAGGCAGGAGAGCAGGCCAGGGAGCGAGCATCCGCCCCACACCCACATCCATTAGCCAAATGATTAAATCCACATCAGCCCTGTGGTGTAATAAAGCAACTGTAATAGGGCATTGTTACAGGATCAATGTTTCCTGGTTTAAAAATAAACATCAGCATTTATCTAGCAACAGCAAATGATGCTCCCGCAGCACTGTTTTATTCAACTGACATCTTTTAATCAGAGCAATCCATATCATGGCAACATTCCAAGGTATCATAATTGCAAATATTTATGGCAAGTTGGATAATAGCTGTACTTTTGTTGTTTTTTTCCTTGTTTTCCATGGATTTGATGCAGACATTTTCTAATGAATTAATTCTATTAAGGAAAAAAATCTAAAATATTAATATTTGAGACAACTTCTCATCCACCTCCCACTGGTTTCACTTTTAGATATAACACATGGCTATGTGTGCTCTTGCCTTTTACATTTTTCAAAACTCCTTTGTAATGGGAACAACTAAAATGAAAGCTCTATTTTTAAGCATTATATACAGGGCCACAAACTTTAGTTCTGGGTCCCTCAGCATGAGGCGGGTGACCTCTGTGTGCCCCAATACTTTCTTCACGACTAGCCCGTGTGGTGAATGCACAGAGACTGGAGTAGACTGGAGTAGACTCTCTCGCGGCCTCCCCAGCTTGCCTCTTATCGCGGCCTTCCATCACTTGCCCTCTCCATGATTTCCTGGAGAAATGAAGCGCTAATTCAGGAAGAGGACTGAGACACCAGCAGCTTGCCTGTTTTCAAACCTCAGCAGGTCGTTTCTGTAATGCCAGTTTTAATGAACTGCTCTCATTCACGTTTAATTTATGAGCTATGTATAAAGCATTCCCATCATCACCTCTCTGAGCCAGGCTGGTAATTTTCTTTCTAAAGTCCCCAAATTCATTCCCAGGAGCATCAGGCAGAGATGTGGATGGAGGCAGTGAGAAAATGGAAAAGGCTCATTTCTTCACTGTCTGGAGTTCAGCTTCCAAAAGTGAAAGAAGGGGCATCTGAACTGGGGCCCTAATTCTCCCCGCTTTAGCTTGGAAAAAGCTGGTTCAGGTGTGGAAGTAAACCCATCAAAGCCTCAGGGTGGGCAGTGACGAGGGTCACTCTGCCCTCCAGTGAGCTAAAAGGGTCCAAGTGTCGGCGCATGGAGACTTGCCCAGAGGCTGACTTAATTCTAAGCCAGAGATTCAGGCCTGCCTCACCCTGAGGGAGCCTAGGTCTCCTCCGCAGGGCAGACACCCTCCCTGGGGCGGGGCCACCGCAGGGTCTGAGCTCAGCACACACCCGCACAGGAGATGCTCTGCGCTGGCAGTGGTGACACTGACACAGCCACTTCCTTAGAATAGTGTTTATCGAAGCAGCTCTGTCTGAGCAGGGGAAAAGCATACTCCAAGGCCCATCGGGCCAAGTCGCCCCAGAGGCCGCCTTGGTTGGGTTATGTGGCCCGGCACCGCTTGCACAGCACTCTCAAGAGTGATGGCTGTCCTCCAGGGACTTGCGGGTCTGGAAACTGCACCCATCCATCCGCACTCCACGGGGCCTCTGAACACAGTTCCATTTCCTCGCACGTTGGAAAGCATTCATCCTCTGCAACAGCAAGCATGGCTCCAAGTGCGATGAAGAGAACTTTCCTCTGAGAACTACCTTTCAATTAATTCCAGCGTTTTACTTCATTCTCTTCCTTCAAATTAGACAGGCCCAGCTGGAGGCGGGGAGGCACCACTAGCAGGGGGAATACTGGTCTCCACACCGCTGGGAAGGCAAAATATTTCAGATGTGCAAGGTGAAGCAGAGGCCCAGGCCCTTATGTCTACTATTATTATTATTTATTTATTTATTTTTTTATTTTTTTATTTTTTGCAGAACCGGGGAATGAACTCAAGACTCTTGCGCTTTCCAGGGAGGCACTTATTCTACTGAGCCATCTCCCCAGCTCTTATTATTTTTTAAACCAAGGGTTTCATAAACCATAACTAGAAATTTGTACATGGGCCAGTTCTTCTGAGAAAGAGCTGAAAATGACAAATGGTACTAGATTTTGGCATGGATTCTGAGTTTGCAAATACAGATTTGTGTGCAAAAATATAGGCACCATTTAAAAACTGTCAAGCTACTTACATATGGTATATACACTACACACACGCACACATGCATACACTGGGCTTGTTTTCAAATTAATTTGAAGGACTACTTAACTCTGAGCTCGCACTCCATTCAGCTGTATCTGCCTCCACAGCCTGCAAGCTGGGCACTGATGTCTGGCGATAGCAATGCTGCTCCTAGGACTTGTTTGAAAGGGTTTAGGTTTTCATGGATCACTGGAGGTTCTTCATTTTCCCCCCTTCGGTGTTAGGTAGGTATGAGCCGTCTCTCTAGGCATAAACTGTCCGGTGGTAAAAATCAATTTTGATTTTATCAGTATTTATTACTGCTAGTGCCAGCAGTTTAAAAAGACTAGAGAGGAAAAACATGCAAACTAAGAAAGGAAACCGCCAGGTCCTCACACCTGCAAATAACATGGCCCGTGGTCTCTAATAGGCACTTTGTATCATACCAAGAGAGTTTAAATTACCAATTTAAAAATTCAATCAATAAAAATTTGCAGAACTCTGTTACTGCTTCTGCATGCACGCTGGTGTTCCTTAGTCCAAGGCACCAACAGAGGTGCTGCAGGGCCACTTCCTGGCCAGACTTGCCTGGGCCCCCGCTCTGCCCTGCCCAGCCTTTCCCCCTCCCCCCACCTGCCTTCTCTGGGCTGAACAGACTGCCACAAGGGAGAACCACATCTGCCCTCACTTCGCCCCTAGGTTTCCTTCTTTGGTCATTCCAGAAAGACACCTATCTGTGTCTCGCTGCTCTCCAGAATACTTAGGGATCATGCCCAACCCCAGAAAGTGAGCATCTACTCCTCACACTTGTCTGGCACATTCTGTTTCAGGATGACTCAGAACAAGCCACATTCCCAAGATTTCCTTGCTTCTTTCCCTTTGGCGCTTCCTTCTCCCACGAGCAGTATAAACGCATGGTGGTGCACCCGTGTATTCCCAGCACTTGGGAGGCTGAGGCAGAAGCTCCACAAGTTAAGGACAGCCTGGGCTACATGAGTTTAAAGCTAGTCTGAACTACATACCAAGACTGTCTTAAAACAAAACAAAAACAAAAACAGAAACCAAGAAGCAGCACAAAGACGTGTTCAGCAAGTTCTAACCTCTACAAGGAAACTAGACCGCAGAGCAAGAGCAGCTAAAAGATGATTTTACTTGGTTTCTGACAACTTCGCACACTGAATTTTTTGGTTTTTGTTGCAACCAAAATCTCTGCATCCTCTGAATAGCTGAGTTCCTTTCCTCAGAGGTAAACAAACATTAAATCACCTTCCAAGACCCTAACAGTGGCCTCCTAGGCACTCTTTAAATCTCACCAGCTGGCTGTCCTTACGAACTGTCTTTTATAACAAAGCGGCCCTCTCTCTTCAGTTTGCAGATCCACGCAAGGCTGTTCTGCACCCCAGGTACTGTGGGAGATCCTGGGGATCTCCCTCCTTGCAAAGCCAACTGCAGGGCTGTGCCTCCAGTCAGTGAACTTTAGTCTACATGCTGAAAATTACACAATGCAAGACACTCCCCACTCACTTCTTTCCACTTCCTTTTCCTTCCTAAGTCACAGGGAGAGGAGCGTGCAGTCTGTAACAGGGTGGCCTTCCCCACCCATGTGCTCAACCTTACCCAAGCTACAGGCACTTGGTGAAAAGCAGGCCTGCATGCAGCCACTGTACTGACTCAGACGGGCTACAGCCTCCCGCCCGGTCAGGCTCAAGGTCCTTGGCCAGGCAGGGAGCTACACAGCTCGAGGCGTGACTTCTAAGAATGTCTGTCTTGCCAGGCTTGTTCTCTAATATGTGCACACAAGGCACACCAAAGGCAGGCACCCCTTTACCACTGCTCTCTGGCACAGCTTCCTGACCAAAGCGGGGACGCATTTTAGGGAAGTAGTGAGGGCAGGGAAGGGCAAGGGAACCAGGTGGAGAGGTTTCAGCAGTTATATTTTTCACACTGTCATCTGAAGCCAACCAAAAAACATATATATATACACATATGTGTGTATGCATGTGTATAGTTAAATCATTAAACATGTTTCTTACTGATGGAGCTCATTTTAAAATCAGCTTTCCAATGGCAAAATAATAATAAATTAATTCCCCCATACAGTAACGTGACAAAATGACAAAAGAATTCTTAATTTTGGGGTTTTATTTTTCTTTTCTTTTTAAGATGCTACACAGTTGAACAGAATTGGATTGGTCTTTTATGGCATAAAATTACTTCACAGTCAGACTCTCCATTACCACTAGACAGATTCACTGAGGAGCCCTCCTGCCCTGGCCACCCTGCCAGGGTGCTCACTAGCACCCTCACTCTCTGCCGCCCAGCTCTTCTGCCCTGACTCAGCCAGGTCCAATGGGGAGTCAGGACAGGCTAGGCCTATGTGGTGGCTACCAGGTGGTAGACAAACCTAGAAGCCCAGCTGGTCTTCTCCATTAAAACAGGGGAACCAGAGTTGACTGCTCCTCCTTAGGACAGCTGGTACTGACACCCAGAACACTGGCGGATGTTCTCTGCTCTAGATGACCACCCCCTAATGCCCCGAACCTCCAGAGACAGAGCTCCAGCAGCCCCAGCCGCTGGTGGTCTCTGTAGCACTGATGAGGTTTAGGTTGCAACAGTAACTGTACTCTTGTGACAGTAAGAACATA